GGGGGGGGGGGGGGGGGGTGAAAGATTCTTGTTAAGTCAATTAACATAGCCGAACATATTCTCTCCTAACAAAATAACAAAACTATTCCCTTTATTATTTTCATTTTATACAAATATTGTATTTACCTAATTATTGAATAATATATGAATATGGTCTATATAAAAATGAGTTTGATTATCTTTTTGTAAAACAAAATAGTCATATACTTCTATTATTAAAAATATAAAATTAAACATGCTACTATATTTAATAACATAAACTAAATGCATTTTTAAAATTGCATTTGTACACCGATTATTCATATTGATAGTATATTTCAACATTGTAGTACAAAATTCTGAATTAACAAATCTTAAATTTTAGAGATCAAAGATTTAATTGAAAATATTAGTTAAAGTGAAAAATTAAATATACATTTATATTTTTTTAATACGAAACTACTACATATTTTAAAAATGTTTGTTTTAATGAAAAATAAAAAATATATTTATACTGTAAATAAAAATATATGAAAATAATGTGTTTAGATGTAATTCAAAGAACATATAGAAATATCTATTTGAATAATTAATATATTTCAAATATGTATACAAAAATTCAGTTAAGTGAGTTTTTAATAGGGCTGGGCATTTTATCCGTTATATTTGATTCGATCCGTTATTCGTTTCGATTCGATCCAAAAATTCCGGATATCCGTAAACTTTCGAATCAAAGCAAATAGTAAAATTCAATATCCGTTAAAATCGAAGCAAATCACAAATATTAAAATTTTGGAAAGCGGATATCCGATCCGATCCGTAAATATATAAATACTAGGTGATTTTCCCGTGCTAATGCACGGGTATGAACATTCATAAAAGTTAAATTTTATAATAATTAACTGATATTTAGTTTTAGTTATGAATCAATTTATATTTATAATTTATATTAATATATTATATTATTCTAACTATACATATGACTTTGGATATATTATTTTTGATTTAATTATTTTTTGGATTAATAGTCGGTTTATATATCAATTTGGTATATTGAATAATATCTATTTTTCGAGTTCAGCTATAATATTTTTATTCTAAATATAATAAAACTTTGATTAATTTTCTTATTTCATTTCAGTTTGTTATTGTCTTAGATATGTAAATATATTCTTAGATATGTAAATATACTATGGTTAAATTATGTATAACTTAATATATATTGTGCTTAAAAAGAAATAAATAATAAGTTGAAGTGCTTGATTCAAAATTACATAAATGAATATAATGATAATATTTTTAAGTCTCATGCATATATAGAAATTCTACAAAAGAATTAAATTGTAATTAGTTAATTAATATTTTCTTTTTATTGTTAATATGCTTTGAGTCAACCTCTAATTTATATATATAAAATTAAATATATTATTATTATAAATTATATGTTCTTATTGTAGTTAGATATTTAATTTGGATATAAATTAGATTAGCCGATTCATTCATTTTGTGAGTATATTGAGTTAAATATATTTTTAAATTAAAATTGAAGTATAATTACTTTTTATTTTAGTTAAGTCAAATCAAATTAGTTTTATGTATCCCTTAAATATACATGTATTTTCATAATATTTTTTTACTCTTTATTTTAGTTAAGTCAAATCAAATTATATTTTCATAATATTTATCAAATTATATGTTTATTTCTAAACAATATTAGAAAATAAACTGTAACTGATAAATTTTTGGATGTTCATGAACATATATATTTTTATTATTTTGAAAATATATTTTATGTTATTTAAAATATATATTAGTGGGGTATTACTATTTTGTGAACTTTCCTTTTTAATAAATTCATATTTTATAAATAAAATTTCGTTTTAAAATTTTAGAAATATTTCCTTTTTATTATATATGTTATTTGGAAAAATGTAAAAAAAGAAATTACAAAAAAATAATAATAATAATCTTAAAATCTAACAATTCATTAAGGGTATTTATGTAATTAACCATCGCGAGAGTTAATGTGAGCGCGACACGTAGGAAACTGACTTCTCAAAAATATTATAAAATTAAATATATTATTATTATAAATTATATGTTCTTATTGTAGTTAGATGTTTAATTTGGATATAAATTAGATTAGTCGAGTCATTCATTTTGTGAGTATATTGAGTTAAATATATTTTTAAATTAAAATTGAAATATAATTAATTTTTATTTTAGTTAAGTCCAATCAAATTAGTTTTATGTATTGCTTAAATATACATGTATTTTCATAATATTTATTTACTCTTTATTTTAGTTAAGTCAATTCAAATTATATTTTCATAATATTTGTCAAATTATATGTTGATTTTTAAACAATATTAGAAAATAAACTGTAACTGATAAATTTTTGAATGTTCACGAACATTTATATTTTTATTATTTTGAAAATATATTTTATGTTATTTAAAATATATATTAGTGGGGTATTACTATTTTGTGAACTTTCCTTTTTAATAAAGTCATGTTATATAAATAAAATTTCGTTTTAAAATTTATTTAAAATTTTAGAAATATTTCCTTTTTATTATATATGTTATTTGGAAAAATGTAAAAAGGAAATTACAAAAAAAAATTAATAATAATCTTAAAATCTAACTATTCATTAAGGGTATTTATGTAATTAACCATCGCGAGAGTTAATGTGAGCGCGACACGTAGGAAACTGACTTCTCAAATAATATTATATAGATCAAATAAATATACTAAAAAAATATTTCAATAATACTAATTATAATTTTTTGTCAATTAAACATATATCAATTTATGTTACTTAATTATTTTATGTAATCATCTAATAAAATAGATTGATATATCAAAAAATAATTAATTTGAAAATATATATTTTATTGTTTAAATTATTTTTTAAAGAAAATATTTCTTTTCTAATATCAAGATTATTTGTATGAACTTTTTTAATGAAAACACATTATATACAAATATTTTTTTCATCTAAGAAGATATAGATATAAAGTATTTTATTACTTAAAAGTATAATTTATGTTATTTAAAAATATATTTAAGTTAAATATCAGTTTATGTTACTTAATTATTTGATGTAATCATCTAATAAAATAGATAGATATATCAAAAAATAATTACTTTGAAAATATATTTTTTATTGTTTAAATTATTTTTTAAAGAAAAAATATTTCTTTTTCTAATATCAAGACTATTTGCATGAACTTTTTTTATGAAAACACATTATATACAAATGGTTTTTTCATCTAAAAAGATATAGATATAAAGTATTATTACTTAAAAGTATAATTTATGTTATTTAAAAATTTATTTAAGTTAAATATTACTATTTTGTAAACTTCCTTTTTTATGAAACCATATTATATATATTTATTTTTTTCGTTTTCCAAGTTTTGTAAATTTTATAAATATTTCCTTTTTATTTTATATTGTTATTTGGAAAATTTTAAAAAGAAAATAATAATATTTAAATATATTTTTAATTCATTAAGGGTATCATAGTAATCAACCAACGTGAGAGTTAACGTGAGCGTGACACCTAGGAAAGTGACTTCTCAAATAATATTATAGAGATATGTATATTTTGATTATATTTAAAATTTTAATTGTATAAAATTATATAATTATTAATTTAGCACATGATTTTGAACAATTCTATTCAAATGATTACTTATATAAAATTATTACATAAAAAGAGATAAAATATTTTTGACAATTATATTTTTTTCTTAAATTTTGTGTTATTATAATTGTAACTTAAACTTTAGAAAATTACAAAATCTGTAAATTCACTAGTTCTTTTAAGTTTTATTTTATATATCATGCAAAAAAATATTTTTGCAAAGCAAATTTGTATCAAAATCTTAAGATTATTTGTACTAATTAAAATGGATGAGATATCCGTAAATATTCGTAAATATCCGCAAATATCTATTTATTTTCCGGATATCCGTTTTTCCGGATATCCGTATTTTTCCGAAGCAAAGCAAATACCAAAATTAGATATCCGTAACATTCGAAGCAAATCACAAATACCTTAAAAAATCTGGATATCCGATCCGTGCCCACCCCTAGTTTCTAAGATATGGTCTATTTAAAAAACCACACATGAAATAAGTCATGATATCTCTATTACATACATATATATTTTCTGTTGTACAACAATTCAGAACACATGTTTAACTAAGAGTTAAACCATTATATTTTGTTTCCGCATGCGATATACAACTTCGAGATTAATTAATGACATACAGAGCCAACAATTAATCACGTACCTTATGAACTTATTGTCTACAAATATCTAGGTATAACGGGCAATGCCAAGGAAAGAAGCAGTTAACATGGGGAGAGCCTCCTTAATCCTTATCAAGTTATCATCATCTTTCTCAGTTAATTAATTAATAGATGATTAGTCAG